AGTTTGAGTTGGTTTTGGATGGTTGTGAAATGGATTGGAAATATAGAAGGAAGGATTTCTAGAAAAATAGGCAAAACCTTCCGGAAGGTTAATGTAAATTTTTATCCAGTAGGCAAAACCTTTCGGAAGGTTGATGAAAATGTTTTTCCATAAGGAAAAATCTGCCGAAAGGTCTATGAAAAACCTTGCGAAAGTTTAATGCAAATGTTTGTCCAGTGGACAAACCTTCTAGAAGGTCGATGAAAAACCTTCCAGAAGGTCGATGAAAAACCTTCAAGAAGGTTTTCTAAAAATCTGAATTTTTAAGTTGCGAACAACCGACTTTCTTTTCACTATAAATACTTAAGGACAACTCCTTTACTCCCATTTCAACATCTCTAATCCTAGGAAACCTTAGAGAGGAAGAAAGAGAGGGAAAAACACAAGATCAAAGGAGATTTGCACATTGGATTATATCAAAATCCCAATTTTTCAAGAACATCAAGGTAGGAGTTTCTTCCTATTCTGTTACATTGAAGCTAGGGCTTGTATATATATATTCTTTGACTCTAAATTTTAAACATTTGTTATGAAATCATCATTCCTTGGTCTTCTTGTAATTATTATCATGTTTTAAACAAAGTTAGGGTTGAATACCCATGAAATCTCTTTTCTTGATTTCAAATCCTAGTTTCAAGAGAGATGAATTTTCCTCTTGATTCTTCCTTAGTTCTTGGTATTGAAACCCTAGTGCGCTTTGTGTTGAGTAATAAAATGATGTTGTGATGATCTCTTGTTTATATTTTTAAATTGTTCTCTTGTATTACAAATTGTGAAATTTGGGGATTTTGGACTTCTTTGTGATTTGAGAAAATATATGTTATAACATCTCTTGTATAACTGTCATGATGGATTTGAATTACATTCGAGCACTGCCGAAAAGTGTTAGAGGTTAGTCTATCTCAGTGGGAGTGAGATGATTTTCTAACATTTATAGTGGTTTGTTGTTTGTGATAGCAACCACTATTGTTCACGTAAGTTCGAGACTGAGGGATGATATACCTATCTGGGGAAGGATTCATCAATGCCGTGAGAGGATTCATCAATGCCGTGAGAAACGGTATACGCCCTTCCTAAAATGTTTGGAATTGTATGATTGTGGTGGGTGAACGAAGTAGAATCGGGGTGTAGATTCATGGAAAACAACCAACATTCATGAGAATATGTGATGATGTTATTGAATGACTTATTTATTTCTACCACTCCGAAATGGTTATACCTTTCATTTAACTTATTGAAATTGTGTAAGCTTGAGATCAAATAAATTTTTATTATTTTATTTCAAGTTATGTATGTTATTTTGAAAAGTGAGACCGAACTGTTTATATGTTTTCTAAACCTTGTTTGAGATTAGGAGAATGTTGCTACAGAGCTTAATACTCACCCCTTACAAATTATACATTCTTCAAATTGTGGTCTAGAGGAGGAGCTCAGAGTCGAGGAGCCGATACATTGGGAAGCTCCACTAGACGGATTGGTGGATCCCGAGGTGGATGTCTAGGGTTATACTCTCTTAGGTGCTAGTCTAGAAAATTTCTTTTGAGATTATGTGAAGACTAATCTTTTGTTATTTCTATTGCAAGTTTAAATGTGATTCTTTTGGGATGTAATTAACATAGTCAATCATATTCTTTTGGGATATAATAGTCATGTGTTGGCATATTCTTTTGGGAATGATGTTGTAAATATTACATTTGGTGAATGAAATTTCTTTATTGATGAATTTAATTAGTTGCTCTCATGATGTGAAATGGATTTAAATTGCAATGTCGTCCAAGGTAGATTTTGGGACGTTACAAGATTAATTGAGCCCGCTGACTTCTTTTTTTCCCAAATAGCATGTGTTTTTTTTTTTTTGGGGGCAATTGCAATTTCTTGTTAATAAAATTAGTAGTATGGATGTGATGATCTATTTTTTATTTTTTCTATGAGGCTTTTGCACTAATATAGTCCTTCTGACTTTGGAAAGCACAGGCCGTCATGCATTAGCAAGATTTTTTTATGAAAAAGGTGAGAAGGAAAGAAACTATATGACAAAACCATTTACATAAAACTTGCAATATCTCATAAACCTTATAGCAAATTACTATAATTGGCCAAATGGGGTATTAAAATTATGAAATGCACATGAAATTTATTCTCCATCTATATTCAGGCTCCAATTGGTCATAAATTAAATCCTATGATGTACCTTCATGTTAGAAGAAGTTTTTAGGAGTAAAAATTATGATCTTTAAAATGGAGTTGGAGCATTTGCATGCTTAGGGTCACTAAACAAGGGGTTAATGATCAATGAAGTTATGAGTTGACATTATTTATTTGTATATGCTAAGAAACATGTGTTCTTTCTATAGGTTTAGATTCAATTATTAAGTTTTAAGACGTAAAACATTGTCTTGCAACGTGCTTTAAAAATATTTATTCTCTATATACAAAAATTGATCACCACAAATTGTAGCTTGATTCATTTTGGTTTTGTTATTTCTTTTTTGCTACTTTAATTTATATTGCAAATAACTCAAAGCCATGCAAACAAAAAAGAGGATAAAATAAAGAAAACATGAGTTACAAAGATGAATGGAGAACATTGTATTCACACTAAAATTTCTATTAAAATTAATTTAACTTGAATTTTAAGGGGTTATCATTGGTGAATTGTCTAATCACCAATATTTATTAGGGTTTTTCATTTTGGGGAAGTGGTTGACATTTTATAGATATGACATTTTCATTTTCAAAATAATTCACATGCACCGACTAGTAATTAATAAATGAATTAAATATGAGTAAAGTCAATAAAAAAATACACGATACAATTTATTTATATATTGGTTATACACGATTTATATACGATATAAGCCTGATATAATATGATTCATTTATGTCGAATTAATAAATGAATCAGTATGGTTGAAATAATTTTTGACACAAATTCGATAAGACTCGATACTAACCCGACCGTTGATACTAAGCCCCCTCCCTCACAAATACGCTCAAAAACACACTCACCCATGTAAGGGCAAGCTAGTGTTCGGCCTCACAACCTTCGATACCGACCATGGATTTGGTGGGGGCTATACTTGGGCTGATGGCATCATGAAGAAGATACAAAACACAACTATTTCAATGGAGGAACACCACAATTACTAACTGCTAACAGGTAATGGCGCAATGTAAGGGTTTGTTTGGTTTACATCTGTAAAAACAATATCTGAAAATAATTTTTGAGAAGAGTTTTAATTTTTTTTTTTTTGATATTTTTGTATTACAAAACTTGTTTAGTTATATGGTTTTGAAAATAATTTTAAAGTACAAAAAATAGTAAAACCTGTTTGGATATTAATCTACAAATGGTTTAAAATACACATAGACCCACAAGTACATATCTTCTCACATCATCTCTCTCCATTGTCTTCTTACACAACATAAACATACACACTAACGAGAGAGTCACATAACACAAACATACATACCCACAAGAGAGAGAACACACACACACACACATATATATATACTCACATAGATCTGTGTATATATGCAGTATCTTCTCACAATGCACACATACACACACACACACACACATATATATATATATGTATATACATATAGATCTGTGTATATATGCAGATTTGAACACAGATCTGTATATATACATAGATCTGTTGCACATAGAGGGAGAGAGAGAGAGAGAGGAGATGGGTTGCGTGATTTACCGGAGCTACTCAGATCTGTGATTTGCCAGAGAATTTTGCAGGTTCAATCAAAGAGGAGACACCATTACGGTCGAAGGGGAGACACCATTACAGAGAGAGAACGTCAAGGAGAGAGGAAGACAAAATAAATAAATAGCTTGGCTAATTTTGCTGCTAAGAGGATTCAAATGGGAGACCTCATTAAAGAGTGAGATTGTTTTTCTTGTTTCCCTTATTTTCTATTTTTGGCTTGAAAACTCAGAAAATATTTAAATGATGTTCTCTAGTTTTTGTTCTCAATTTTCACTTTTTTTGAAAAATTATTTTTGAAAATTATTGTCCAAACAACATCTTACAAATTTTTGTGTTTTGAGAACAAAAAACAGTTTTCAAAACACAAATCAAACACACCCTAAATTTTTATGGGTTTTGCATGCCATAATTGAATTTATTTAGTCCAGATTTCAGAGCGGTGAATTTTCTGTATGTAGGAATAACATTTCTTGGCATTTCATACCTTACAATAATAGTGTCATATAATATGCCTAATTTTAAATTTGCGAAATGTAATTTTAAATACACAGATCTATTCATTTAGGCATATTATATGACACTAGATGGGCCTTTTATATACAATTTCATTTAGAAATAATAAATAATTTTAAAAATTACAATTAAAAGTAAAGTGAACATGAATAAAAAGTAAATTATGAATAATTTTAATTTTATTTATGAATAATTTAATGTGTCTAATTTTTTTTTAAAGGAAGGTGGGCGGATTGTTCGGGCTGGACTAGGCAGGCAGGGTTGGGCTGGACTGGGCAAACGGGCTTTTGGGCCGGGTTTAATGGATTTTTTGCGTACGGATTATTGGACCAAATAATGGATTTAGAGATAGATCCAATCCTCTCGAGGGATACGAGGCTCTGGTTCAAACGAGCCAACTCTGAGACTTATCCAATTTTGTGCCTATTTTTTTTTTCGGTTGGGTACCGGACCGTTGGGCAATGCCGCGCATGGACACCTCTTATCAACACACATCTCTCTCTCTCTCTCCAGATCCCTCTGCCTTAATAAAAAAGAAAAGGTTGCGAAGCTTACGTCGCCACCTTATACAGCACCATTTTACCTAACTTCACCCTCACTTCCAATCTCATCGGCACTTGATATAAACCACACCTATTCCAGTGTTCCCACACCATCTCATCCAATACAACTCTTCAACTAAGGCCACTCTCTACTGAATCAGCACTCCAAGATTAAAAGACAATGAGAAACCTACTCTCATCTTTCCCTCTTCTGGTGATCTTCTTCATCCATTGCAATCCAATTTCTGCTCAATCTCCGGCACAGGCACCAGCACTGCCCCAGCCCCAGCCACAGCCACCGTCACTGCCCCAGCCCCAGCCACAGCCACCAGCACTGCCACAGCCACTGCCACCGGCACTGCCACCAGCACTGCCACAGCCACAGGTAACGGCACTGGCTCCAGCACCATCGGGTACTCCAACCAATGTCACAGCAATTTTAGAGAAGGCCAGGAGATATAGTATATTTATCAAACTACTAAAGAGTACCCAAGTAGATTCTCATATCTACGCACAGCTCAACAATTCAAACGTGGGGCTAACCATTTTTGCACCAGCTGATAGTGCTTTTGCTGGCCTCAAATCAGGCACACTGAACGCATTCAGTGCTGGACAGCAAACCCAATTGACGCAGTTCCATATCATTCCTTCTTTTATCTCTTTTTCGCAGTTCCAAACTGTGACCAACCCGTTAAGTACTGAGGCTGGTGGTAACAAGGACAATGAGTTTCCGATAAATATCACCACATCAGGGAGTCAAGTGAACATTACAACTGGGATTGTAAATGCAACAGTGACCGGCATTGTATATACCGATAACCAGCTAGCCGTTTATCAGGTGGACAAAGTGCTCCTTCCGATGTATTTTTACGCGACTCCTGCACCAGCTCCAGCACTAGCACCATCGAAGCCCAAGAAGCCGGCTCCAATTACTTCTTCGACAGGGTCTTCTGTTGCTTCTGTTAATACTTCTGGTGCGGTTCAGCAGGCATTAGACGCAATATTCTTTCTGGTTGCTGTTTCTTCTGCATTGTCTTTATACCTATGATTTGAGTGTTTGTTGATAATAATGGGATTGTGAATCCCAAAGCCTGTATGATTTTATTTTATTTTTTGAGTGACAAAGCCTGAATGATTTTATTGTTTTTAATCCATATTTTTTTCTCTTTTTTTAATCATTATAGTGTCATTTTCTTCTACTGATGAATTTCCACCATATCTACAAGGACATTTCAAATTAGTGCAAATGTAAACCAAAGAGCAACTAACTAATATTCCATGAATCTTTGCACCGCCCTGATTTCTTCAGCAGGATAATTGTGGGTTTTCATTTCATAACCACTTTTGAGAGCAATCTATAATTCACTAACTCAGCTGCAATATCTTGCTAGTCACTATCTAATTTGCATTTGTTACCAATGAATTGACAAGGCATCTGAACTATGATTGTTTGGTGAGGAGTATCAAAATGCTCAACAATTCATATCATTTGGAGGGAGGGGGAATCTAGGGGACATGGCTAGTTTTGTTCCCTTAATTATGTCAACATCAGAAAGATTAGAGAGGATGTTCTTCCTGGGGCATAGAAAGGGACACACATCAACAATATTGATAGCACCATATCAAACTTGCTTATCCACATGTGATGACTTTTCAGGCAACACCCCAATAGAAATTTTCTTCCAATAGGAATTTTGGAGAAGCTTTGTACAACTCTATATATGTCACTTAGAATTCACAGGACTGTAAATAAATAATATTATTTTATAATAATTTATGATTTTTTTTTTATAAAAAAAATAGATTTGTTTTTTGATTTTAGATCAATAAATAATATAATAAAACGTGAATTTTAGTTATAATGATATTTTATATTTTATATTTGATTGAATTATTTTTGTTTAAGCATGACATTTTAAATTTGAAGAATCAAGTATTACATATCTAAATTTTAAGGGGTCTAAGTATAATTTATTAATAGATATACTAACATAATAGTAGGGGTCTAAGTCTAATACGCGTACAAACGTTAAAGACTTTATATATAATATTTTAAATATTAGATGATCGAAGTGATTAAGTAACAAATCTTAGGGATTTGAATGTAATTATTCATAATATCTATTATTATTATAAAGGTGTTCACATGTGAATTTTTTTTTATAGTATCCCTAACACCTAACTGGAAGCATTTCACATTTTTTTATTCATTCTTGTTTTTCAAAGTTCACATGTACATCAAAGGTGTCACGTCCTTCATATAGCATATCTTCTTACGATAAGCTTGTTTTAAATTAATAGTACGTGAAAGAAAAACATCATATGTATAATAAAAAAAATAAAAAATAAACTGAAGCCATACTTACATGTCCCCACTAACCCAGTTATCAACATCCTACGTGATGTTAAAATAAGACCAACAAAGCTCCTTTAAAGAGAGCACCAAATTCAAGTACATACCCGATAAAAGATTAAGCTACATACTATCACTTCCAAAATTATGACAGATAACTACATTTGATTAAGTAGACTTGAACATAAGGATGGTTGGATTGCTATCACTATACCAATGACTTTTTCACTATAAATCACAAGGTTCTAGATTATAGAGGGAAGTCAGGGTATATCATATTTAAAATACTTCCGTGGACTATATGTTGTATGTCTGCCTCGATGCATTTAACCATTTTCCTATGCTACAATATGAACAGACTTGTCATAACTCGTGCATAAAATCATGATAAAATATAAAAATTGAGAATCCCAAAAATCGATTCTACTATATTAAATTTTTTCAACATATATATACTATCGTATATAAATAATGTTTGAAATAAAAATTATATTAACTACAAATCAATTAAATATTAAATAATTAAACATATAATAGAAATGAGTGATGTTATATTTTTAGGGGGAAACATATAAATGATTAAACATGTAATAGAAATAAATGATGTGATGCTTTTAAGGAGAAAAATATGTAGAGGATAAAAATTCAAGTTTCTATATGTTTTATTATATAGATATTCTAACAGAATTTAAATTTGAAGAATCTAAATATTACATATCTATAAATTTTAGGGGATTTAAGTTTAATTTATTAACAGATATTCTAACTGAATGGTAGGGGTCTGAGTGTTATACACGTACAAACGTTAAGTGGTTTATATATAATTTCTCAAATATCAGGTGATTTAAGTGATTAAGTGACACATCTCAAAGATTTGAGTGTAATTCTCGCTAATATCTATTATTATTATAAAGCGAGACAATGGCTTTGGTGTTCACATGTGAATTTTTTTTTTTGAATAATGTTATGTTGATCAAATTTTGAGACCAAATTAAAAGCCCAAATGACATGACAACATATTATTTGGAGTCTTTATTGGGGCTCTAATGACATGATACCAAATAAAGAAGCTCAAGTCAGCTGCCATGTTATTTGAACTCTTAATTTAATCCCAAAATTTGTTCAATATAGCATTTCTCTTTTTTTTTTTATAGTATCCCTATTTTTTTCTACCTTATATACTCACAACCCCTTAATTACTGGTCCATGTTGATCTCTTCTCCCTCTCATATCTCTCTCGCTCACCTACCACGCCCTCACTCCGTACATGAGTGGTCGTGTGTACCTATGGTCCATGGGCTGGATTGTCTATGGATTCTATTATTTGGTTCGAGAAAAATCGGTTCGAAATTTGATAGGTCTGATAATTAGTTCATCCGATTCCAAGTCCGATATCCTTCAAGAGAGGACTTAGTGCTACTCCAAACTCATTACTTGGCCCAATATCGCTTTAACAGGTCTAGAAAATATTCATAAATAAAAGTATCTGACAAGATGACCCTCATTAATCTAACAAAACTATTGGCTTGAAGACTTAAAAGAAAAGTTTGGCGGGATATTTTAATGTTATATCATTAAGTCGATATATTTTTAAAATTTTAATAACATTACTCAATTTATGTATTTATATGATTGTCCAGATTAAAAAAATCTAACACCTATAAAATCTAAACTTCATAAAGAAGCCCTATAAAAATCTAAGCTTGCAAAAAAAATTCTAATCTCAATAATCCTAGTCCATCAAAGTCAAGGTTTCGAACGTAAAGTCACAAAATTGTCAAAAGGTCATAGCACGAATTTGATTTCTTTTTTATATACTAATTATGATTTTTGACAAATTATGATTTTTTTTTAAAAAATTAGATTTTTATTTTTGATTTCATATCAATAAATGAAATAATATAACATGAATTTTTGTTGTTAAATTTAAATATTTAATATTATATTTTTGATAGGAGTATTTTTTGTCTAAGTATAACATTTTAAACTTGAGGAACGTAAATATTATACACATATAAAGTTCAGAGAGTCTTGGTGTAATTTATTAATGAATATTGTAACGGACATTAATAATAGAGGTCTAAGTGTTAAGCACGTACAAAATTTAAGGGGTCTGTGTGTAATATTTCAAATATCAGGGGTCTAAGTGATAAAGTGGTTAATACTATGGTTGGGCAACAACTTTTGGAGAGAATGTAGCTGCTGGTGAGTCAAACCCAACAAATTCTCCAACTGATGCTCACCTTAAAAGGCGTCGCCCACTAATAAGCAAGAGGAGCCGCACTCCCTCGATAGCAGAGGTTCCATACCCTCTCCCCTCTAGGTGCCCCCAGTGCAGCACCCAACAACAGGGCGTCCCCATGCGACATCCAGAGCCCCCTCGCCAGGGTGTCCCCCTTCAGCGCCTAGGCGTTTCGCAAGCTTCGCCTCCCTATGTACCTGTTCCGCCCCCCAAACACTGACTGACCTAGGTAGAAGGATGAGGGGGGGGGGGGAACTAGTATGTGGATCATGAGAGCTAATATAATGATCCAACAGATGATGTCCCTAACCAATGGGATAAAAAGATTAAGGACGTGCAAAATCAGCTTGATGATGCCTTCAATGCCATCAAAACATAGGCGCTAGAGACGGTGGATTATTTGGTAAGCCCTACTAACACTCCGTTTGTGGCGGATGTTGTCAAATACCCTCTACCCTCAAAGTTCAAGATGCCTATCATTGAGATCTTCGATGACACCAATGATCCGCTCGACCATCTTGACATGTACAAGTTTCTTATGCAGCTCCACAACGTGCCTTAAGTGGTCTGCATGACAATGGTTTGCAAAGCTTAAACCCTCTTCTATACATTCCTTTGCAGAGTTAAGAAAATCGTTCATCTCCCACATCATTAGGGGACGCCGACACTAGAAGCTGATTACCCACCTGCTCACCATCAAGTAGGACCAGGATGAAAGCCTTAAGAGTTATCTCACTAGTTTTAACAAGGCGACTCTCCAGATCAAGAAGCCAGATGACAAGGTAACCATTGCCGCCTTTATTATTGGTCTATGCTCACCTAGTATTATGTTCTCTATCCTAAAGAAGCTACCCTCCAGCATGCCCGAGCTACTGTCAAGGGCACATAAGTATCTGAATGATGAGGACGTCACCAAGGCTAGACGAGATGAGTCCCCTCGAGGAGGTGAGAAAAGGAAGGACAACCGTGAAGACAAGAGGGAAGTAGAGAACAAGAGGGAAGTAGAAAACAAGAGGAAAAAGACAGAAAGGGTCTCTGTCAAGGACCGCTTCAATCTCGCACCACAGAAGGAGTGAAAAGCCTTTACACTTCTCAATGCTTCGGTTGAGCATATTATGTTCCAAATACAGGACGACCCTACTCTTTGTTGGCTAGGATAGATGAAGTCCGCTCTGAACCGAAGAAATTCAAACAAAGACTACTGCTTCCACCTTGACCATGACCATGACACTGATTACTGTTATGAGCTCAAGAGGCAGATTGAGGAGCTCCTTGGAAAGAGGGGAACCAACAAAAAATCTTCATCCAGTAGAGCAGGACGAGAGCCCACCAACATGCCCGAATCTATATTGGCTCCTCACTTTTTCAGGAGCAAACATCCCACCTGGTAGACTTCCTCAGACGAAACATGGATGTCTTTGCCTAGTCCCACAAAGACTTGGAGGGCATCAATCCTAAAGTGGCCATCCACCGACTCAATGTGGGTCCCAGGTACAAACCTGTCTGCTTAAAGTTGAGGAATATAAGCGTCGAGAAAGGCCAGACCATGGAGAAAGAGGTGGAGAAGCTGTTGACAAACGAGCTAGTGAGGGAGGATAACAACCCTCAGTAGGTTTGTCTCAAAATCAGCATACAAATGTCTACCTTTCTTTAAGTTCCTCCACAAATCTTTCCAGTGGGGACCAGACGTAGAGAAGACCTTCCAAAAGTTAAAGGCCTACCTCGTTATACCCCCTTGTTCTCCCATGCCATACCAAGAGATGCCCTATATATTTACCTCTCATCCTCGTCCTCTATCATGAGCTCCTTCCTTGTCAAGGAGGATGGAGTAGTCCAGAGGCCAATGCACTATGTAAGCAGGGGGTACTGAGGAGTGGAGGTAAGATACTCAGAGTTAACAAAGTTGGCCCTTACACTTGTCACTGCCACCAGGCACTTACACCACTATTTCCAAAGCCACACCATTGTGGTTGTCACAGATCAACCATTCAAGGGGATCCTAGGAAAGCCAACATGTCTAGTCAACTCCTCAAATGGCCGTCGAATTGAGTGAGTTCAGCGTGCAGTACTAGCCAAGAGAGACCATAGAAGCACAAGAAATTACAGACTTTGTGGCCGAGTCTACACCATTATAAGGATCCTAGGAAGAACCACCAAGTGCCCCTGTGCTCACTTGTCTAGTACATAGAACCTATAGTCATCATGAGGCAAGCCCAGACACCATCCCCAGAAAGCCTGGCGCCTTGGAGACAGCCTTTCAGGCCCCTAAAGACAATACTCTAAGGCCAGAGGTGCCCAACTCTCTCGCAGCTATTCCTACGAAGCCTTTAGCACCCTCTCTACCCAAATCATAACCTATTGTACTCTCGCCTGAGTGCCCTGTTATGCCTAAGTAGGCATCCTCTACTGGCACTGTACCATCCTGGAGGCTGTATGTTGATTCATCCTTTACTAGCAAGGCGGGGGAACATGGTTAGTACTGATCAACCCCCATGACACTCCACTCAAGTACTTTGTCTTCCTCCATTTTGCAGCATCAAACAACCAAATAGAGTATGAGGCCCTAATATTAGGTTTGAAGCTTGCAATCGAAATGGAAACCCTTTGCCTAATGGCTTATAGCGATTTTCAAATGATTGTCAACTAGATAAAAGGAGACTTTGAAGCGAAGGAGGAAAGAATGCAAGAATACCTGTCAGTGGTTCAAGCTGCATTGAGGAAGTTAACCACTTCCAAATCCACCATGTGCCCAGGGAAGAGAACACCATGACAGATTCCCTTGACAAGTTCACATCTGCACACATACTCATGGGCCCAGCACTAACAAGACACCAATTTGAGCCAAGCAGGTTCAAGGTAAAGAAGGATGATGTTAACTATGTATCCTCCGAAGCCAATAGGATGACACATATCCGAGCCTACCTAGAGGAAGACGTTTTCCCAGAGAATTCGGGCGAAGCCAAAAAGTTAAGAATGAGAGCATCTAGGTACATCATCCTGTGTTATTCTCTCTGCAAGAAAACCTACACACTTTCCCTACTCCATTGTTATCTGTAGCCCTCTCCCAAGCTATCTATAGCTTAGTCTCTACTCTAGCGACAATCTTGCGGGATTCCTACAAATCTGTCTTTGATCTTACGTAGGAATACTCTCTGTCAACCACCATTTAGGCAGCCCTCTCATGGGACGCTAGAAGCTTGGTCTCAAGGGGTGCAACTCTCTCGTAGACTAGCCTCAATTGCTCCTCGGAAGCCACCCATTCTTGCCTCTTGAGCCCCAACTACTCCTAAGTAGCCCCTCGTGCTTGCCTCTCTACTACTAGATCTCTGAATGCCTTTCCAAACTTTATTATCCTTGAAACAAGGTAAGAAAAAGAAACAGTCACCTACAAGCATTCAAAAAGTAGGACATGAGAGAAAAGAAGTGGGTACAAAATCAAAGTTGAGTAAAAGGCATACCATAGCAAAACCCTCCATAGTAGTGTCAATGATTCTTTCTCGACTGCAAGAGCCAGCTTCTTTGATATCCACGGCTGTCACAAACCCCCAAAGCCATTTTTTGGCCAGATTCACATTCCGCAGCATGGATACTGAGTTACTACTAGAAGCAGAATGACTAAGTGGAACTCTGGACCCGATAGAAGGTCGCGCAGAAGTCTCAACCCCCTAAGGTAGTAGTTGAACTAACCTTAACACTCAGAGGAGCTATGTGCTATAAAGGAATGGGGGCACCCTATGATCCAACCTCATGGAATATAACATGCCTGTTGGATCGTCGGGAGGCACTAGGGGCGTCAGCCTTGGCCGTTTTTGGGAGGAGGGAAAAATGCCACCTTGGAGGCATAAAGAGCCTTTACCATCGCTCTATTAATAGTGTGGCCTGTGGAATTGGTGTGAGTTAAAGATCCTACAAAGTCATAACCATCAAAATTCTAATTGAAGGATCAAATACCTTTCATCTTCTACCTAGATGAGGCTTTGGGATGACCCGATGTAGACATGATGACTGGAAACTCTTTGAAGGGATGATCCCGTATGACTTGGGTTCTACTCTTGCTCTGGAGATAACGTGGGGGAAGTTGCAAAAAAAAAATGAGTAGTAAGTACAAGGACATGACAACTAGGCATAAAAGTATAAGCAAAATTCTTACCTAGCTTGGTCCTCGAAACAGTGTCCCACCTTGAATGCACTGAGTCACGATCTTCCTTAGGAGCCCACTCACCTCCAATGAAAAAGAACCTAGACTTCCAACTGTGGCAATTTGAGAGCAGCCTAGTAATAAACTTGTCCAAACCTTGGGGCAAAGTGGTACCACCCTTGATAAGGAGTAGGATTATCCAAAACCACCCTTGATGAGGGATTCCCCTCAAAAGGGGGAAGGAACATCAGCACAGTGGACTAGCTTCCATAAAAAGAAGAATGCTAGGATCAACCTCCATCTATTGGGAATCAACCTCCCTGGACCCAGTGATAGGTGGCCCAGAATCCGACATATGGGTTCAGGTATGGAAAACCTCAACCCTGTCTCCAGGACGTCCTCATAAAAGATGATCTCTCTTGAGGAATCATAACATGCCGGCTCATCTATCTCAGCCTAATGGCTTGTTTATCTCGACCTGATGGTATATAACAGTAGGAAGAATATGGAAAGATGACACAATGCGAGTGATATCATCATCATAGTCTATGGAGCCAAAGATAGAGGTTACATTTGAACTTTCTCTATCAAGGGTACTCTTGCCTCGTAGGGAATCCCTTGTATTGTCCCTCATCATGCCTCCGTCAGAGTGAGTGCCTGCCAAAAATCAGAGCCAATGTCAAGGGAAAGTCAAAAAGCTAATGTCAAGAAAATGCAAAATTTCTAAGCCCAACTTGACACATCTGCTCACAGACCTCCACCTACACTAGGCAACTATTCACTGGATCTCAACCTCCCAGAATCGTTGGCCAACACATCGTCGTCGGCTCTAGCACATATTTGTCTGTCATAGTATAACGCTCTGTTGGCTAACCTAGAGTGTTGCCTCAACAATATCTCCCCACCAATGTCGCTGCCCAGCAATTCATAAGCATCGCCATGGCCTTTATCGCCATCGCCTTGGGCATTGGCTTCATCATCAATTCCTTGCGGAGACATTTAACTTAGGATGCCGCCCGAGGCGTTGCCAGAACCTCCCTGCACCTGGGGTACCATTGGCTAGTCTCCCAACTTCTGGCTTGCCAACACCACCTAGGACTTTGCCGCTCTCCTACACACGACAAGAGGTGTCATCCTTGCCATAGTTGGCACTGCCCTTCTACACGAGGCTTCGCCCTTGTTATGGCTGTCGTCGCCCTAATGCACACGATGAGAGGCCTCACCCATACGGTCAACATCACCTACCTCGTGAAGCGAGCCACCAGTCGCACCATGGACGTCCTCTACCCAGGCCTCTTCAGTGTTGCCCACTACATGAGGGACTCCTGCTTCATATCTGTTGATGGTGCCACCACCCACAATCTTTGCATCTTTACCCAAGACTCCAATATCACTAGTCGCTAAAGTAACTCTGCCTAGATCCCTGCCTATGAGCTCCCCCACATTGGCATGTAGACTAATGTTAGCGACATCAACAGTGCCTGTGCCTAGCCAGCCCATGCTAGTGCCCTTTCTAGTGAACAACGGCCCCCTTCTCTACTAGCACGCAAGGTGTCACCATTCTCCCCTTCTCCTCTCCCTTCTTTGCCCAGGAGTCCATTTTCACCAGCTGCAAATGAGGCACTACCTAGGTGAGCATTGGCGTCACCTTCTTCGTGAAGGGCGTCGCTTGTGTTTCGTCTGCCTTCGATGCCTCTTTGAATCTCTACAAGGGCGCCACTTCTGTTACTTTCACCTTCGACGCCGCCTTGGTGTCTTGTGAGGGTGTCACCAATGCCTCTTTTGTCGTTGACACTACCCTAAAGTTGTGCACGAGTGGAACTACTGACTGTCATGGCCCCACGATGGCATCGTTGGACACTGCCTTCAACCTCTTTGACATCGTCGCCTATTGGGCTGTCTTCCCGATGCCTAAAGTCGATTGTGAAGATGTTGAAACGTCTCCCTCCTTGGATTTCCCAAGTTTAGATTGATTCCCCCTTTTGTTCTGAAGTTCAGACTTACCTCTTGGAGTGTTAAAGAGGGTTCCCTTGATGAAGAAAAGGGGGATTTTTATGTGAAAAGATGAAATTTCCTCTGAGTGCATAGAAGGCCCTTGGTAGCGAGGCGAGAAAAATAAAGAATTGTGAATAATGAACTTTAGAGGTACAAAGAAATGGAAAGCAGAAGAAGCTACCATGGAGAACAAGGCACCAAATTTGTGTTAATGAAAAGCTCATTCATGTCCTCGACCTCTTGACATCGTAAGAGCCCAGAGCATGAGGGGCAAATGATGAACCCAAATCCTACTAGGCTAGGCCCAATTAATTAATCAAGCCCAAATTAGCTCAAAAGTAGGTCAATCTCAGCTTATGGATTCGGCCTAGTCCAAAGTTCAAGGAGTCTAGCAATATTAGCGCACATGAGGAATAATTACCAGGATAGCCACTCTCCTAAGTCGAGACTATCTCTAGTTGTAGTTATCCTCCCCAAAATTCTAGTAACCTGCCCATCATGCCACCGCCTCAACCAAGGTTTTGTGCCCATAAAATATAAGTCCTCTACACAGGAGGGACACACATGTTACACAACTATCTCTCTCATAGCTACCTAGAGTTTTCCTTTGCTCTCTCTTTCTCTCTCTCTCTCTCTCTCTTTTACACACCTTCTACTTTATTAATAAAGTTCTTTGGCCCCTATCGCTGTCTTCAATGTTTTGGTCACCTTTGCCCAACCACCCATTCTTTGCCTTTTGATATTGATTATTTTATTAATTGTTTCATTAATTACTCAGAATCATACACTCGACTGTTGTTTTTGCATAAATCTATTTTGTGCATCATCAATTTGACACTATTTGTGGGAAACGATTGAGTTTTTTACTATTGATTAACCATTAAAATTGTATTTTATTATATTTAATGATTGATTAATTACATATTATTTGTAATTAAATGTGTTAAATTCTTTAATTTTCTAATTTGATACTTTTCTAGTTGTTTGGTTTATTTTGCAGGTAAATTGGTTGATTTAAGGTAATAATGGATAAGGCAAGTGAAACAATCACTAGTAGAAGAATCACAATTGATAAGGATTGAAGAGTTAAGATTGAGATAAGAAGACTTGAAGATATGTCAATAATTTAATCCTTATAAGAGTCCAAGTTAGAAGAAAACTCATTTATAGTTGGATTAGGAAAGTATCCTAGAAGATAAGGATTTGACACGTTTTTTAATATTTTGGCCATAGCATTTGAATCCGATATCCGATTTACTTGATATTTGGGGGTAGGAAAGAAGATTTAAAGGGCTACAAAAATGTATTTTATGAAATTTTTGTAATTCAGCCTCTAAATATGCGAAATTCAAGCTCAAAATCTGGACATATTTTGTACCCGCGTCCCAAAGATTTTATGCATGAGATTTAACCTTATAAGACTTCTTTTTGGGAAATGAATTCCTTCTAAGACAACCTTATGTCTTCTACCTATGCTTAGGATTTAATTTTTACTATAAATAGGGGCTCTCATTTAGAGATTACTATTATTCTTTTTCCTATATTTTTATTTTTATTTTAGTTCATCATGTCTGGTTAGAAGGCTAAGCTAGGACTAGGGGAGAACCTCTCAATGAAGTATGGTAATGTTATTGATTCTGAATTTAATGAGTTATGATATTTGGTTAATTTAACTTCTGATCTTATAGCAAAGTTATTTTGTTAATTTAACTTCTAATCTTATAGCAAAGTTTTTGCTCTATACAAATCCTTGAGTCGTTGTGTCATGTACATCGATTGCTTGAATTTTTCTGCGAGTAAATAACTAGTTATTCCATATTTGAGGTAATTATCATTATTTTATAAAATAATATAATTTGATGATTATTCAGGTTCCTAGATAATCTTTTGATTATAAATTTTGGTTTTTTTACTTGATTTGTTACTTGAATCAACCGACATTTGATTTTTGTCTCAAGTTAAGATTTGAGTCTTTGATTATTATTGTATGGAATTGAGAGGGTGTACCTGATGCTCTAGTATTTTTTATTTTACTTTTTTAATTATTTAAATCAATTTTTTCCCACTCAACAATTCCATAAACAAATTATTTATTTTTAAGTTTGTTTTAGTATTTGTGTGATTGCTTTTTTGTTACAATTCTTGAGGGTTCGACCTCGGTCTTTCGAGAAATATATTACTTCGGTCAACTTGCGCTTGAGTTTACAATATTAAAGTTGAAGCAACTACCTTTATAGTTTCTTTCAAATTCATGGCAATCATAACCAGGTCAATGAATCAACAGCCCGAAGACAACGATCCAGCTTGTTGGGAGGAGGCTCCGCCTCTGCCTCCACCAATGGACCCATCCACTATGGCAAATCCTATGGCCGGGCAATAGCTTTTGAAGACCATGTAGTTGCTAGTGAGTCAAAACCAACAAATTCTCTAACTGATGCTCGCCCCAGGAGGCATTGCCCACCAACAACCAGAAGGAGCTGCACTCCCTCCGATGTGAGATGTTCCACACCCTCTCCCCATTGGACTCCACCAGAGCCGGGGTGGCCCATACAAAGTCCAAGCACCCTTCGCCAGGGTGTCCCCCCTCAACACCTAGGCACCACACAAGCTTCGTCTCCCAATGTACCTGCTCTGCTCCCGCACGTCGACTATCCTAGGCAAGTGGATAAGGGGGATAACTAGTGTGGGGATCATGAGAGCTATTACAATGATCCAATAGGTGATGTCCCTAACCACTGGGATGAAAAGATTAAGGAGGTGCAAAACCAGTTTGGCGATGCCCTCAACGCCATCAAAGCATAGGTGCCAAAGACAGTGGATTATCTGGCAAGGCGTGATGATACTCCATTTGTGGCGGATGTCATCAACTATCATCTACCCTCAAAGTTCAAGATGCTTGTCATTGAGATCTTTGATGGCACCAAGGATCTACTCGACCATCTTGACACGTACAAGCCTCTCATGCAGCTCCACAACGTGCCTGATGAAATGATGTGTAGAGCCTTCCCTATCACCCTTAAGGGGTTTGCACAACAATGATTTGCGAAGCTCAAACCTTCTTCTATCCACTTCTTTGCAGAGTTAAGCAAATCCTTCATCTCCCACTTCATCAGGGGACGCTGACACCAGAAGTTGATTACCCACATGCTCACCATCAAATTGGATCGGGATAAAAGCCTTAGGAGTTATCTAACTCGTTTTAACAAGGAGGCTCTCCAAATCGAGGATTCAAACTACAAGATAACCATGACCACCTTTATTGTAGGTCTACGCTTCTCTAGTTTTATGTTCTCTATTTTGAAGAAGTAGCCCTCCAACATGCCTGAGCTATTGTCAAGGACACAAAAGTACATGAATGTTGAGGACGTCACCAAGGTCAAACGAGATGAGTCCTTTTGAGGAGGTAAGAAAAGGAAGGACACCCGTGAGGACAAGTGGGAAGCAGAGAACAACAGGAAGAGGATAGAAAGGGTCTCTATCAAGGACTGCCTCGGTCCCACACCTCAAAAGGAGCGACAATCTTTTACGCCACTCATTGCTTCGATAGAGCATATCGTATTCCAAATCCAGGACAACCTAATCTTCAGTGGCCAGGAAAGATGAAGGATTTTAATGAAATTAGACCAATCTACAAGGATGTTAATGAAATTTACCCTTATGTATTGACAATACATTTGGTAAACAATGTATTTAAAAAAATAATTCAATTTGGCAATTATTTTTGGTTTGTAATTTTTTTAAACTTCTTCGGGATCACTTATGAATTTTTGAAATTTTTGTGACTTTAAAGCCGAGACTTTGACTTTGATGGTCAAGGATTATTGAGATTAGAATTTTTTTTTTTTTGCAAGCTCAGATTTTTATAGGAGTTAGATTTGTTTTTTAGTGACAATTAGGGTTGAGTCCTGCTTAAGGGACTTATAATTTGTTTAGTCCATTAAGAAAACTTATTTCGGGATAAATACATTTTTAATCTTACTAATAAGTATTTAAGTCCACTATTTTTTTCAAAACTCCAAAATACCCTTCCTTTAAAGCAACTTTAAATTAGTTTCTTTACTTGAGAATTATTATCCCTTAATTCACTATCAATGAAACTATGCCAATAAAATTTTTGAAATTCAAATTTAAAGAACAACTGATATTCTCTCTCTCTCTCTCTCTCTCTCTCTATATATATATATATATATATATATATACCATATTACTATTTTTGTGATCATGCTACTGTTTTTGTTGGGCATGTTACTGTTTTCGTTAAGCATGTTACTACTGTTATTTTCTCAAATATTCATACTCAATGTTATTTTTTTTTATTTTTGAATATTATTATTTTATTTTTGTGTTTAAATGTTACTAATTTTTTTGTGTTTAAATAGTACTATTTTTTGTGTTTGAATTATACTATTTGTTTATTTTTAAATGTTACTATTTTTTTAATATTACTATATGTATATATGTATGTATGTATGTATATATGAGTGTGTGTGTGTATATATATATAT